CTTTTTTTTTCTTTTTTACATATCAAATTTAAATTTCATTAAATATGAAAATGCAAAATTTTTTCTCATTTGAAATTCAAAAAGGTACTTGAGGGGGGTTTCTAAACCTGTTTTAACGAATATTGTGTTAGGTACACACTCTAGTCATTTAATAGATTTTATAATATGTCCATAGAATATTCTGCTCACCGTTGGTCTCCCAAAGCTGGGTCTTATTTTTACCTCTTATTTTTGCATATAATTTCTAGTTCAATTTTTAATTTAAACGTCCCCTTATTAATTGACTGTCAACATAATTGTTTTAGGAGATGACCCACAAAATACCCAAACTTCGTTTTTTGTTTATTAATTTAATCCCTCATTTTTTTAAATTAATTAATATTTTATTTAAAAATTCCAACATTGCTTTTGTCATATGGATGAGAGTTTTACATACCGTATTTCCTATATTAGAGCCCCACCCTCTGTTAGAGCCCCACCCTCTAATACAGCCCCACTTTGGAGGGTAGTTGAAAAATAGAGCCCCACCCTCAATTAGAGCCCCACCCCTAATACAGCCCCACCTAAAAATATTGGAGGAAAAATAAAAAATATCCCAATAATTTTTAAGATTATTAAGAGTTAAGGAAATAAAGGGCCATGGGGACATAAGGATTAAGGGAAATATGAGGGATTAACTAAGGGGAAAAGGAAGAGATATAGTGGGTATTCCTTTTATCCCGATAGATATCCCTTATATCACCGATGTCCCTCTTCATCAAAAAATCCCTTCATATGCCTACTAATACCTCATTCAAAATATCACTCTTAACCCCGCTAAATCTCTCAATATAAAATTAATCCTCTGATATTCCCCATAATCCCTTAAAATCGCTTATATACCTACATATGATCCATCAATGTCAAATACAAGTCCCCTAAAATTCCCTTTAATCCGTCAAAATCTACAAATATTTCATAATTAATCTTACCCTCATTGAATTATTGCGATTATTTTGTTACTCATTGCTTATAAAATTTTAATTTTTTTTGAAAAATTGAAAAATATCGATTGTCTTTCGATATTTTTCGGTTTTATCAACCGACCCCTCCGGCCTATCTCTAGTTGCAATGGATATAATAAATGGGATTCTATCTCAAAAGAGGGTTGAAAAATAGAGCCCCACCCTCAATTAGAGCCCCACCCTTTAATACAGCCCCACCTTGGAGGATAGTTGAAAAATAGAGCCCCATGGGGCTCTAATATAGGAAATACGGTATATTTATTTATTTTATATTTTTTATTTTTTAATTAAATTGGCTTTAAATTTCTTCTTTTTATTTTTTTTAATTTAGAAAGAAATATTTTTTAGACATTTATTTTTCCTTTATTTAATTATTTCAGTCACTTTTTCAGGCAATTTGAATAAATAAAATTAACTAAGTAAAAAGACAGATGGTCGAGAAAAGCTAATAATAAAGGAGGAGAATACATATATATATCTAGTAAATCCAATTATTTAAATATATATTTACATAAATATACACACAAACAAACCCAAAACCTTTTTTTACTTTTTCTATAAAATTAATTTCTTTAAAAAACTTTTCTTCCTTTTTTAGTTCCATTTTTTTACAAAAAATTTTTTTATTTAAATTTTAAAATGAATTTTCTTGCAAAACATTTCTTTGATTACCAATCAGTTATTAATTTACCCCATACAGCCGTTCAAATGCATAAAATGGTTACAAAAATATTTTAAAATTAATTTATTTTTATTTTTTCAAGCCCCCTTCCCAAGCTGGCTGTGATCCTAGTGCCGCTTGGGCCCCAAAGGATTTACATGTTTCAGGCAAAAATCATGCAGCGCCCGCTGCTCGTGCTAATCGGGGTTATCATGGGTAAATTTAAAAAGAAAAGATTTTTTATTTTTTCTTTTAATTTCTCAGGGGAGATCAAAGGACGGGAAGTCATCGACATGGAAGACCGAGTAAATTAGAATTTAGAAATTGGGGAGAAAGGCATGGAGGTAAAAAATGAGAGGGGGGGGGTGGATTTAAAATTAATTTTTAATTTTAGAATTACGTTCAGAAAAGATAATTCCCCACACAGTAAATTAATTAAATTAATTTTTTTGTTGAAAATATTTTTTAAAGGAAAATTGGATTGAAAAAGAAAAAGATTTTATTGGAAGGGAAGAAAATAATTGTAGTAATTGTGGAGGGCTTTCTGTTGCAGCAACAGCAATTATAGGTCCAGGCCCGTCTTTAAATAATTTTCAAAAACAAAAATTGGTTGGTTAAAATTAATTAAATTTTTTGTGTTGGAATTTTCTCCAAAAGAAAATTATTAAAAGTAAACAAATTTGTTTGTGTATGTTAAGTTGAACACAAAATTTTAGAGCAAGAATTTAAAATTGAAAAGGTTTAGTAATTTTTTGGATTTTCTGCAAAAACCAAAATTTTTGGAGAAAAGAAAGGAAAAAGGAAAGGAGGGAGGGAGGGAAGGGGAATATATATACTAAAAATTAATAAATTTATTTTTATTTTTAGATAAATTATTCATCAAAAAGACAACCACCACCCCTTCCCCAATCTTCTTTAAATAAAAATAAAACAAAACAACAACAAAAAGAATTATTTCCAAAAAATATTTTAATTATTTTAACTTTGGGGGAACATTTCGATTTTTTAACTTTAACTTTAAAAACTTTGAAGGGTTTTTGGAATTTAGAAAAAGAAAAAGGTTTTTCTTTAAAAAGTTCTCTTTTAAAAATGAAATTAAAGATATTGTTATTAATTTACGTTTATTTGATTCTTCTAAAATTGTGGATGAACGGTTATTTAATTTTAATAAAAGGTTTTTCCCTCCCCTCTTTTCTTTTAAAAATAATTTATTTTAGTAAAAAATTAATTTCTTCAAAACAACAAAAAGAAGAAGAAATTTTGGAAGAAAAAGAAGAAGAAGAATATTTATTGGGGCAATCATTCCTTTTAAAATCTCCAAATTATTTACGTTTACCTTTTTGTCAATTAAATATTAATATTTTATTTGAAAATTTTGGTGGTTATTATTTATTAATTGGGCCTTCAGGAAGTATTTCTAAAGGAAATATTCATTGGAAACAAATGATTAAACAACCTAGTTTTTTAACTTAAATTATTTAATTATTTTCTTTTAAAGATACTCCAATAGCTATGTGGCACGAATTAATTCCTTTAAATAAATAAAAAAGATTTTAATTAATTAATTTTATTTTTTAAATTTAAAATAAATTAATTTCTTTAATAAAATTTAATTATAATTAATTAATGTGGACTTACAGTCGTGGAAAAAAGTATGGAAGCGCTAGAAAAAGTTTTTTAAATTCTTAATTTTTTATTCAAAAAATACGTTCTATATACCAATCGAAAGCTCTATTCGTATCTCAGTTGACATGTTTCTGCATTTTTCATGAAAATGAAAATTGGCCGAGATAATCCGGATCTACCGGATATACCAAATCCCACTTTTTCGGAAAAATTTTTCGGAAGAAATTTAACAAACCCAAATGATAAAGCATATTTTTCTGAGTATTTTCCACAAAACCGCTTAAAAATATCTTTTTCCGGAACAGAGATATGATTTTTTGAAAATCGCATTTTTCGTCAATTTTTGCAAAAAATTCGATTTTTAAGGGAAAAATGCGATTTTCAAAAAATCATATCTCTGTTCCGGAAAAAGATATTTTTAAGCGGTTTTGTGGAAAATACTCAGAAAAATATGCTTTATCAAATGGGTTTGTTAAATTTCTTCCGAAAAATTTTTCCGAAAAAGTGGGATTTGGTATATCCGGTAGATCCGGATTATCTCGGCCAATTTTCATTTTCATGAAAAATGCAGAAACATGTCAACTGAGATACGAATAGAGCTTTCGATTGGTATATAGAACGTATTTTTTGAATAAAAAATTAAGAATTTAAAAAACTTTTTCTAGCGCTTCCATACTTTTTTCCACGACTGTATATATTTTTGACTAAACAAAAAAATTAAGAAAAAATTTTCTTTTGTTTATATTTACAATGTTGAAAATTCTTTTATTCTTTCATTCATTATAAATCCAAAAAATAGTCAAAAATAAAAACAATACTTCAGAATGACAAGTTTAATTTGCGATATCGTCACTTAACCTAATTTTCAATACTTAATTTCGTTTCAAATTGACAAATTTTGTGTTTTTTCAAATCTTTTAAATTCCGCTCCGACACCTTGCCTAAATCCCTTTAATCTCTTGATGACTTTTTTAATCCCTAAAGAACAAAAATTAAATAATTAATTTAATCTCTTAACAATTATAAGCCTTTTACACCAATTGTAATATTTGGAGAAAAATGAAAAGACAAAAATAATAAAATATTTTATTTTTAAATTAAATATTTATGAAAAAAATAAAAATAATTATTAGAATAAATATTATTGTTTGTTTCTTCAAATTTCTTCCTCCTCCCCTTCCTCCATTACAGTAATCAGCATCATTACAATAACAAATTATATTTGGCTGTCCAAATACATTCATCTAATTAATTAAAAATTATTTAAATTTCTATTTAGCAAAATTGTATTTTTTAATTTTTATTGTCAACAAAAATGTGCGGCAAAGCGTTTGGCGTTATTTTTGGCCGATTTTTGGCGTTTGGCGTAATTTTCGTTTTTTGGCTCAAACGCCAAAATTATACACCCCTAATGATGTAAATTTTTTAAAACAAATGGGAGAAGGGGTGATCGAGAAGGAAAATTTTTCTGCATAAATTCTTCCACAATTCTCAAAAATTTCGCCCTGTGGCGCTAAAAAGGAGAAATCTAGTTTTTAGGCGTTTTTATATTTTAAAAATTTTGGCGTTATTTTTGGCCGATTTTTGGCGTTTTGCTTAGGTGTGATTTAAAAATTTGAAATATTGATGTTTGGCGCGCCTCGCAAAAATTTCGGCGCACATCCCTGATTGTTAAAACTAAAATTTCGAATGTCTCCACAAAATTTAATTTAAAAATTCTTCAAATCTTTAAATACTTTAATACATCCATTAGGCACAGCAACACCCAATGAAGACATTTTATTGCTATTAGATTTATTTGGATATTTAGTAGAGTATTTAATTAATTGATTTTCTTTTTCTTCTTCTAATGATCTGACAGAAACTTTAAAAAAAATAATTATTTTTAAATACTCCAAAATAAAATAACCATAAAAAGACTCCCCAAAATTTTGTTGTTGTACTAGAATATCCCCCCTCCCTTCATTTCCCCTTCCTTCAAAATAATTTCCTCCATTTTTTGTTTTATTTTCACATCCTTTACTAACATATTTATTTGCAACAATACTTTTAACACAATAATCACCAAAACAAAATCCTGATTTGCATTGAATTGGCATATGACACTTTTTTGTTGAATTTAAAAATTTAAATTTAAAAGAAAATAAAAATTACTTGAAAACACATTCTTTGTTTTAATTGTTGATTATTGTTATTATTAAATGCTTTAAAGAAATATTTATTTTTTTTAAATAATTTATTTAAACAAACTTTTAGTTTGAGCATTATTTAACAAACAAAAAAGACAAAAAATTTTAATAAATAAATTAATATAAAAAAATAAAAAAGTTTTTAAATCTAAAGAGGAAAATGATGATGGGGAAGGAGAATAATTAATTATTATTTGCATTTTTTAAAATTAATTAATTTACATTTTTAAATTACTAAAAAAATTTAAAATTTTTTTTAGGTATTTTATTTAAAATGAATGGACTTTCTTTTGTTTTTAAATATTGAATGAAAAGAAGGCGATTAATATTAACGCCTGAAAGCTTTTCAAAATAAATCCGAAAATAATTATTATTTTTTTGTTATTTAAATAAATATTTGTTGTGAACGTTAAAAATAAAAATAAATTAGTTTCAAATTTAAATAAAAAGACACGTTATTTTGTAATTTGAATATTTTGAAAAAAAGAAAATGTTTTTAAAGAAAGTAATGAGAAGAGGAAGCAATTTGACACTTTAAAAATTAATTTTATTTTTATAAAAAAAATATTTTTTTTTATTTTAAATTAAAGAAACAAAAATAAAATTATTTAAAGAATAAATAAAATAAAAATAACTTCTTTTTCCTATTTTTACACAAAAAACAAAATTGCCTAAATTATAAGGTAATAAATGAATGGAAAAATAAATATTTGTTTTTTTTTAATTTAAAAGCTGCTAGGCAACTAAAGAAAAAAGGATAAAAATAAATAAATTTAAAAATATTCGATGGATTTTTTTGTTTGTTGTTTTTTTTGTTATAAATAAATAAATATATATTTTAACAATAAATGGAAGAAAAAGCCAAAACATGAATTGAGTTAAAATCTGCGGAAATTTTTTAAAAGGAAAAAAAGTGAAAGAAGCCAAGGTAAAGAAAAGAAATTTAAAGAAAGGAAAAAAAGAAAAAGATTTTTTGGAACAAATTGTGTTGAAAGTTTTTGGTGGATATTTTTAACTAAATAAATAAAATCAAATGTCAAAAAATAATTGTGTATTTATTTGAAAATATTTTTTTAAAAAATGGGGACAACCCTGAAGATTTTTGAAAAGGGGAATACCGAAGGACTTAGAGGGATTAAGGAGATAAATATGGGGGCTCTATGAAAATAAGTACCCAATTCTGTATTTTAGAACCTAAGGTGCGGCATTGTGAGTGTGTAACATAACTCTGGATAATTAGAGAAATAACAACACAAAAATAACAATTCCCACAACATAATTTATATATCCCCTCCCTTTCAACCACCCCAAATCCATCGATATCGCCTTAATCCCTCAAAATTCCCTTTTGATATTTCCTTTAAAAAGTTAAAGTCTTAGAGGTCAATAAGTCTTCAGAGAGAAAAATATCTTGCTTTGACCTAATAAAAAAATAAAATTATTTTTAATTGGAAGAAAAAAAGGGGAAAATATTAAAAGTAAAGCTTTAATAAAAAAATGTTTTATATATTTAATTCCCAAAGCTAAACAAAACAATTAAATTGAAAAATAATAATAATCTTTTTATTTTGGAGATTTAAATAGATAAATATTTCTTTTAAATTTATCAAAATAACAATTCCCACAAATTTCTAGCCGAAGCCGCCCTTTGACGCACCAATCTTTTTGGATTTTCGTTAATAGCCCGTGTACATATTCTAACAACACGCCAATAAAGAGAAGCCAAAAATTGTTCTTTTGTGTTAATTAAATTAAAAGAATTTTTTGCAACTAATTCCAAACATTCAAAAATAATTAAATAATTTTTCTGAAAAAAAAAATAATTATTTTTTTAAATTTATTTTTAAAAATTTTTACAATTAAAAATCCTTTTGGAGGTATTTCTGTTAAATTAAAAATAATTGAATGTAAAAGAGAAGAATTCTTTTTAGTAAAAGGTAATTTTTGTATAATTAATTTAACACTATTTAAAATACATTCATTTATTGAAGAAAAATTTTTTTGTAAAAAAATAATTGGAAGAGCATCGCTAATTAATGGAGCTAACTAAAAAAAGAAAAGAAATTATTTTTAATTTAAACCCCACCCCCCTTCCCTACAAACTTTATTAAATTCATTAAATAAACATTCTGTTGGAATATTTTCAATTAATTTCAATAAAGGGCCTAACAAACATAAAAGAATTAATTTTTTCTCATTTTGATCTTTTATTTGTTTGTAAATATTTAAATAAATAGAAGAAAATTCACAAAATATTCTGAAAAGTTATTAAAAAATTTTTTTTATCATTTAAAAAAACCTTTGTTTAGCAAAAATTGATAATTTAAATAATAATTGTTCTTTTCTTTAAAAAATTAAAATTAAATTATTAAAAAATATTTACAAATCAAAATTTAATAATTCTTCTATTTTTGCATTAAAAACAAATATTTTAGCTTCATCTTCAGTTAAATTAACAATTTGTTTTAATAATTTATTTAATTTAATTTGACTTTCTTTTTTATTTAAAAAAAGAAATGAACGAGTTTCGAATAATTCCAAACGAAAATTAATTAACTAAAAAATTAAAAAAATATTTGAACACCTTCCCCCTCCCTTTTTAACAAAATCCCTACCTTATTCTCCTCCTCTTTTAATTTCAAAATATTTTCAAAAAACAATAAACGTAATTTCTCCAATTCCTCACTCCCCTCCTTGTCCTCTTCATTATTTAATAAACAATTAAAAACAAATTTAGAATATATTTTAAATAAACATTCAATTAACCAATTATTTTCCTCAGAATAATTTAAAGAAAATAATATTTTTGTAAAAGAATTTAATAAATCCTTAAAATTTATTAAATTTATTTTTTGTAAATTTAAAAAAAAACCTTCTCATCTGTTTGTAAAAATAAAAACAAAAAAATTTTTGAAAATAAAAATATTCTTCTTTTATTTATTTCTTCATTTAAATTATTATTTTTAGTAATTATTTCTAGCACCAAATTACACAATTTTAAATGTAAATCTTTTTTGTTATTTTTGTAAAGTAAAATTCCAATTTTTCTAAATAAATTAGAAAAAGACTCCAAATCACTAATTTCAATTAAATTTATTTTCTAAAAAAATTTTTTATTTTAATTTTTAAATATCAAAACTTACTTTATTTTCCAAAATTCCCTTCTTTATTTCTTCCAAAAATTCTTCTACTAAACAATCAAAATTATTTTCAATTAATCTTTCAAAAATTTCTTCAATAGCCAAGCAATATTTATTTATTAAATTTTTATCTTCAAAATTAATTTGTTCAAAAATATTTGAAATAATTTTTGTAAAATAATTTTTAATATTAATTAAAGTTTTAATTAATTTCCTTTCTTTCTCCAATTGTGGATAAACAAAAGAAGACAAAAAAATAATTTTGTTATTAAAATTCTCAAAATTATTAAAACAATCCAAATTATCAAAATTAATTTTTTTGTAAACAACAAAAAGTGAAATAAATTTTTTGATTAAATTATTTCTTTAAAAAAAAATTAATTAATTATTAAATTAAAATAAAAATTACTTTTGTTTATCAAAAATTGAAGAATCAGAAGTTAAAAGAATATTATTAAAATGTTGTAAACAATAATTGTTAAAAAGTTTATTTGTTGTTAAAGAATTACCAAATAATTTTAAGCAAGGCAAATCTTTTGAAGATTCTGTGCAAATTGGTAAAAGAAGAATCTTAAATTTTAAAAGAAATTCTTTCTCATATTTAAAAAAAACTTACAGAAAGTAAATTACATTTTCCTATAAAAATTTGAATATCTTCTGAATCTTCTAATGAAAAAATAGCAGAAATTAAAGGAATTATTGAATTCGTAACAATTTCCTCAACTCTTTCTTTCGAAGGAGAATAATTAATAAATGAATTTTTAGGGATAAAACCAACACATAAATTTAGCCAATAAGGAAGTAAATTAATTGCTTCACAAGCTATTTCAATCCAATTTTGTTTAGCTCTGAGAGTTTTTCCTTTAAAAAAGGAGGATTTTTTTCATCTTTTTAAACATAATTACCTTCAATTAAAATATTAATCCAATAAAATATTTTAGTAATTATAGAGTCAAATAAATCCAAACTTGCTTCAACCAAACATTCTAAAAGACAAAAACTTTTTTCCATTGTTCCCATTTCTGCTTGAAGAATAAAAGGTTCAATATCTTTTTAAAAATAAAAGTTTTTAAAAATAATTTAAAAAATACTTTCTAAAGTAGAATTAACCATTTGTTTAGTTAATTCTTTTACTTTTTCAATTCCATTTTTAGTAAATTCTTTATTTAGAACAAAAATAATTTGTTTAACAATTTTTGTGCTTTTTGTTAAATAAATAGAATTTTGAGAAGGATTCATAAAAATTAAACGAAAAGCTGTCAACAAATCATCAATAGAATTTGTATCAATTGCACTAGATATTGAATTAAAACGTTTACAAGCAAAAACCTTTTTTTGAATTTTTTTATTTAAAAAATAAAAAATTCTTTACAAAAAATTCACAAATTTCCAATTGTTTATTAAGTAATTCACAATCACCACCCCCACCACCACCAACTGCATCAGCATCACTTTCCACTAATTTTTCAACAATAAATTGAAAAAAGAAAGAAACAAATAATTCATTTGATGTCATACAAAGTTCGAGAGCATGTTTAAGCATTAAAGAAGTAATTGAATTGTCATCATTTTCTGACTAAAAAAATATAAAATTTTTTCTTAAAAAATTAACTGGTTCATAATCAATTGGAAAATAACAAGCAACAAGTTCAAACATATCTTCAACAAGTAATGGATCTAAAAAAGTCCTTTGAAAACAATTTTTTAAAAATATTTAACCATTTAATTGGATAGCCAAAATTTGATGAATTTTTAAAACTCCAAGAAGAACTTGAGGATCTCTTTCCCCTTGTGCTGAATGTATAAATGCAAGAATTAATCTTTTTTGACTAAAAATAAGAGATTCAAGAGTTAAATTCAAAATATATTCAAAAATTGCAAAAAGAAGAAGTCGATCTTTCTAAAATTAAAATAAAATTATTTCTTTAAAAAATTCTTTAAAAAATACCCGACTGTAACTTTGCACTCCATTATTTTCAAAAAGTTGAGTTAACAAACGTTCCAATAAATCTGTCTGAATTTGTTTTTTCTGGCTATCAGAATACTGTATTAACTGAAAACAATAAAATTAATAGAAATTTGTTTAAATTACTAAAATGTAGATTGCCGTTATAAGTGCGTCTACCAAGTGGGCAGAGTCCTCCACCTGTTAAAAATATTTTAATTTCAAATAGGGTGTCATTACTAATTCCGAATGCTGGTGAAAAAATTAATTTTATTTTTAATGGTTTTGGTTATTCTTTAAATGCCTCATCTTTGGGCATTTTTCCTGATATTTTTAGAGCCATTCCTCATTCTGGTGTTTCGGAATGTGCCAAAATTTATTTTTAAATAAAACCTTAGAAAGCAAAAAGTTAAGTAAATATTCATAATCTCCAGATTCCAATACAGAACCATTTGTTTTAGTCAAATTTAGAAAGACAGCGCAGAGTTCACCAACCCCTTCACTTCTAACCTCTGCCTCTCTTGCTGTCAATTTATCTCTATAATAAACAAAAATTTATATTTAAATAAAATATTTACCTCAAAGATTCAATAAAATCAACAAATTTCATATCACCTTTCACTAATCTTTCAATAATTTGTTCTACATGTGAATTTGGAATTGAAAGATTTTCAAGTAAATTTTTTGGCACAAAACTCATTTTGATGTAGAAATATTAATTGACAATAACTAACTTAAAAAGTTTTAAATAAATTTACATAAAAATTATTTGGCCAAAAAAGGCATTTTTTGTAAAAAAAAGACTAAATATACATTTTTATCGATACAAATTATTATAGGAAATATTTCAATTAAAATGGAGATAAAAATAATATTAAGTACAATAATATTTTTAAATAGATATCTGACAAATATTGGAGAGATATATTTTTGGGAAATAAAGGCAAGACTAAAATTATGCATTATTTTAAGAGTAAATAAATGCTAATTATACAAAAAAAGATGAGGTTAAACTTAAACAAAAAAAAATCATAAAAAATCAATGATTTAATTCAAACATCTGAAAGAGTCCAACTCCAAACTAACCGAAGTTCATTAAGCCTTTGAGAAGCATTTACTGGATCTTGATGGCATGCAGCCAAATATTTATTTGATTTTGACCAAAAAGTCCCAAAAAGTTGCTGATTAACCAATTTTTTACAAAAAACCTTTAAAAATATATTTTTTTAAAAATCTAAAAAAATTAAAAACATCAACGTTGTCGTTGGTTCTTGCCGAACAGAATCCTAAAAGAATATTTTTTTATTATTTTTTAATAAAAAATATTTACCGCTTTCTATATTACAACGACTTTCACAATCAAAAAGTCCACAATCAGAGTCATTTAAACAACTTTGACTAGTTAATATTTCAGTTAATTTAGTTTCTGTATATAACATATCATTATCCATCATTACAAATCTATCAAATTTTATTTAAATTTAAAAGAAAAAAGGAAGAAAAAACCTTTTTGGATACGAAGCAGACAATCCCAAATTCTCAAATTTAACATCACACCATTGTAACGGTTCATTCAAAAATTCATAAAAAAGTTTTAATGTTCCCATTAAATGAACTAAAATTTTTGCTTTTAAATTTAAATAATAGGGCTTCATTCGAAAAGGAATAAGCTGTTCAGATTGATAAGAATGTCCACACACTCCTAAAATCTTTAAAAAAATAAATTAAAATAATCCATAAAAAATAAATACTTTTGGTGTAACTCTACTCATTTGAAGAACTGCTTGATTAATATATTCATTTTGTTGTATTAATGTCCAAATAGTTCTCTTTTCTGATTCTTTCAATTTTAAACCATCTTTATAATTTGGCCATAATTTACGAATTAAATGTTTTTTGTATCTTCTTGGCCAATCCAATCGAAGATGGTCATTAACGATATCAAGAACCTTTAAAAAATTAAAATACTTAAAAGAAAAATAAAATAAAAACCATATCCATAAATTGCTCGTCTGAAGCCGAATTAAAATCTAATTGTAAATCATATTGATCCATAAATGGGTGTTGCATCTTAAAATTAAAAATTTTTATAAAAATAAATACAATAATTACCTTCACAATTATATCAGCTCCATTCATATGTATTTTAAATACTTTTTTATTTCCACCTTCAAAATAATCAACTAAAGTCCAATTCTTTGCACACAAAATTCCACAAAAATCCCCAGCATAAATTCCTTGATTCCATGAATCACAAAGTTTATCAACAATTAATTGAGCTCTAAAAAATAAATAAATTTAAAAACAAAAAAAGATACTTTGAAGCATTATAGTAAGTAATATCTGATTTTTCATTAGGATTTATATCGATACCATTTGCAGATGAAATACCTAAAAAGAAATGTAAATTTAATAATAAAAAGTAAACAAACCATAATAAATAAGAAAAGTAAAAATAATCATTGGACAGAAAATGAGAAAAACACTTATACAGCTTATTGGAAAATCACAAAAGCAATGACCATCCCTAATAAAAAAATAATAAAAATTTTAATTAGTAAATAGTATTTTTTAAAAATTGTATTCATAAATTTTTTTCAGTTTATAACTCTCACGCAAACATTTTAATAAACGGTAAAAAAGTGGAACGCGTAAGAAGGAACTATTTAGAACAAGTTTTACGTTCTTTTGGTTATCATAAAAGGTAATCGAAAATCAAAACAAAAAAAGGAAAACAAATTTAAGTTTGGAGAGTAACGAAATTTTAATGAGAAATAATCGACTAATCTATTTATAATCCCCATATTTTAATCTCCCACAATTTAATTTTACACACTATTGGCCAATCAAAAATTATTTATTTTACCCACCTTTTTCTCCAGCAATGTTCAAAAAATCTGAAATCTTCTTTTGGGTTGTACTTCTCTGTTATAAGCTTTATATCATCCTTGTATTCCATTTAATTCTAGTTAAAACAACACATTTTTGTAACTAAAAGAATATTAAAAATGTTGAAATAAATTTAATTTAAAATATTTTTATTTGAAAATAACAAAAAAATCTCAATAATTTTCTTCAATTTCTTACATTTTATTAAAAACATAAAAATAAAAAAAATATTTTTTCTTTTATTCTCTCATCGCAATTATAATTTGTAATGCTTGTTCAACATCCCCATTAGTTAATAAAAGTGCTTGAATATTTTCATTATCATCAGTAAAACCAAATTCATGCATTTGTTGAAGTTGTGTGGCAAAGTTGGCCCTTGGATTGTTATTTTCTCCCTCGTTTTGTGAAGTGCTTGTTTGTTGGATAGATGAACTTTGCTGTGAATTAGATGCTGGTTGGGCTGGTGTTTCACCTTAAATTATTGAAATATTTAATAGGTAAGAGAGTAAAAGTTTAGACATGGACAAGCATCGAGTGCTTTGGCGCTTCGCTCACCACGTACAGGTGCTCAACCGACTGATGTGAGCTACCGAGGTTTGCTTTTACTTTCTCTTTTAATAAATCTTAAACCCTCGCCTAGTAAGCATTTTAAATTCGAGCCAACTGGATCTCCCTTCTTTCTTATGATATAAATTTAAAGAAAATATGACCTAAAGCAACAGCAAAGGCTTGACTAAGCATTTGTTGTGTAATAAGTTGAGTTCCTGAAGAAGGATTATTTTGCATTGGCATAGCTAAATCACCGCCCATTAAAGCATTGGGGAACCGAACAGATGTAGAAGTAGAGGAAAATTTAGCAGAAACATTATCCAGTGCTTTTTTAAACACAGATAAACAATCCGGGTGTTTATGTGCAAACTCATCATTCTTTAAAGAAGTAAAAAATTTTTTTAAATAAATTTAATAAAAACCTTTAAAATAAATTGAATAAGAAGACGAAAATCACAAATTGCAGCATCCCCAATCTGATCATAAACAAAATTTGGATAATCTTTCAAAACTTGCTTGTAATTTTCACATTTATTTTCATGCATATAAGACAAAAGCTTTTAAAATAAAATTAGGTAATTTATTTCAAAAAATAATACCAATTTGAAAGCTTCTGCAGAAACTTGAGGAAGTGCATCTTCTATTAAAGCTCGATAAGAAGCCCGACAAGCCTGCAACTTTTTATTGATTTCTTCTTTATTTTCTTTTAATTTTTGATTATTTTCTTTTTGACAAATAATATAGAGAGGACGATTTTCATTTAAATGTTGAATTGTTTCGAGTTTTTGATCAAGAGCCAATTTACGCCCAAAGAATACTAAAGCTAAAATTAAAAATAAATATTAGCACACATGACATATTTAAATAATTTACCAAAATTTTCATAATTTTCATCATCACAATTAGCTTTAAGCACATCTAAAACTTTTTCTGGACGATTGATGACTTTTTTAGTACCATTAGGAAGCACAATCTGCACAGTATTTGCTACAGAATCATCCATTATAAGAATAAAACGTTTAAGCTGAAAATGAAGAGAGGCGGGAAAATATATCGCAAGAGCACGGGATCCCGCGTGATTAATCTCGCGGGATCCCGTCCCGTAATTCCCGCATAAACATTTTGCGGGATCTCGTGATTGAGGCATTTTTAAGTCTTTTTCTTGTGTGGATCTACCGCAAAATATTTCTAGCGAGGATCAAAATATGCTTACTTATTACTTAACTTGTTTTTCAATTTTTCTAAAACTAAACAGTCAGTTAAAGATTTTTTGAATATTTTTCGAATTTTTGGGATGATGATTTTTAATCGGCTTAAGTAATATAATTTTAATTTCAGATTTGTTAAATGATGAAGAATTTATTTTTACAATCAAAAATTTTATTTTCGCCTTTATTTAACATATCTGCCAGGACAATATTTAAACCACCAACAAATATTCCATATTTGGGTATTTACAGGACTAATGGTGAAATATGTAGAAAGGATGATTTATTAGTTTATCAAAAAAGTATGAATTATCATCCAGGAGCCAACGTTTGTTTTTGAATTTTTTTAAATTTAAATTAAACTTTAAACAGGTCCGATGGCATTCTTTTAATGGTAGGCATATGTTAAAAGCTAACTGTGATGGAACTGTTTTAATAACTCGTGAAGATTGTAATCCTGATCCAAATATTAAATTGATGGAGGATCTCTACGGCTTTAGGTTTTTAATTTTTTTTAATTTTTTTTTCAAAATATTTTATAGAAATTATGAAAATATTTATAAATTGACTTTTAATGTAATTCCAAGAAAGATGTCAAATACGTTTTCACTTTTGGATGAAGAATGATTTTATTTTTTGTTTTGTTTGTTTTACAATAAAAGTTTATTTTTAAATTTAATTTTTGATAGTGCTTTATCAAAGCTTATATTTAAATATTTGAGATCTAGAGTTGTACTCTGAACTTCGGAGTGGATATCTTTAAAATTAATTTATATCATCATGGGACAGAAATCCTTGTTTTTAGCGCGGCCATTTCAGAAAAATCGCTGAAGACGAGGTTCAGAGTAGTGAACGACATATCTACGTTTTCGTCGATTCGCGGCGAATAACTACTTTTATTCGCGAACGACTATTTTTTAATACAAAACGCCAGAACTACGTTAATATCGATGTTTTGCGCCAAACGATTGCGAATCGACTTTTTTGTGTCTCTTTTTCTCTGCTCTGTCATTATATTTCCTTTCTCTTTTTCTATTAATTTTCTATGTCGTTGTCTCTCCATTGGAATTCTCTCCATTGGACTTTCCTCTTAACATTTCTCGTGAAATGCTCCAACAATCCAAAATTCTTAAAGTGATCCGAAAGAATTTGGTCAAGAAGTGTATCGAACTTTTTGATGAAATTGCTGAAGACAAGGACAACTTTAAGAAATTTTATGAACAATTCAGCAAGAATCTTAAGGTTTTTTTAAATGTTTTTTTGAAAATTATTTGTTCTTTAGTTGGGTATTCACGAAGATTCTGTCAACCGTAAAAAGCTTGCCGAATATCTCCGTTACAACGCTTCCTCTTCTGGCGATGAACTTGTTAGCTTGAAGGATTATGTTGGACGAATGAAGGAGAATCAGACTTGCATTTATTATATTACTGGCGAGTCTAAAGAAGTTGTTCAAAACTCAGCTTTTGTTGAACGTGTTAAGAAGCGAGGTTTTGAAGTTATTTATATGGTTGATCCAATTGATGAATATTGCATTCAACAATTGAAAGAATTTGATGGAAAGAAGTTGGTTAGCGTGACTAAAGAAGGTTTGGAGTTGCCAGAAAGTGAAGAGGAAAAGAAGAAGTTTGAAGAAGATAAAGTTAAATTTGAGAAACTTTGCAAAGTTATTAAGGTATTTAAGATTTTGTTTAAAGAATTTTGGAATATTTGTTTTATTCTTAGTGTTAGGATATTTTGGACAAAAAAGTTCAGAAAGTGTCTGTTTCAAATCGATCGACTCCGACCAAGATGACAAAACTGCCAAAGATTTGGTTGTTTTGCTCTATGAGACAGCTTTGTTGACTTCTGGCTTCTCTCTTGAAGATCCACAACAACACGCTTCACGTATTTACCGAATGGTTTTTAATGTAAAAGGTTTTGATGGATTGATCTCCTCGTTGACTTTGTTTTTCTTTAAATTTATTTTGTTTTGTCGTCCTTATAATTATTTACTTTGTTTTTGAATCACGGATACATAAATTAATTTCACAAAAAAGTTTGTCTTGATTTTTAATTTGAGATGTGTTTTAGGGGAGGTGGGGAAACAAACGGCAGGATCAAGGTAAGCAGCACATCTGATGATGGAAAGACTTTCCGGATTTTCAATGAAAATTTCACTCATTTTCCTGTTAAAGGCTTTCAATCCACTTTTGGCTAAAGCTGCTCTGACAAATCATCTCCTCTTACTTCTCCTCTCCATCTAGTAAGAATATATGTGGAAAAATCCCTAAAAATTACAGAAAAGGGACTGAACATTTATAAAAATGGAAAATTGCAAATTCCAAAGGAGAGACTACACGAACGAAAATTAATAGAAAAAGAGAAAGGAAATATAATGACAGAGCAGAGAAAAAGAGACACAAAAAAGTCGTTTCGCAATCGTTTGGCGCAAAACATCGATATTTACGTAGTTCTGGCGTTGTGTGTTTAAAAAAAAGTCGTTCGCGAATAATTGTAGATTTTTTTAAAACGACTTTTTTTCCTTAAGAAAAAGTCGATATGTCGTTCACTAGTTCAGAGTACACATCTATGTACGTTTAACTTAAACTATTTAAATCTAGCTAAATGTCTATTAATGGCAATAATGTTAACGAAGATTTAAAAATTGAGAGAGATGTAGTACTTTTTCAATCCACTAAATTGTCGTGTTTGGATCAAGTAGTTAAAGGTTATGACTTTAACAGAGGTATTGATTGGCAGGCTTTATTGGATTCTTATACAAATACAGGATTTCAATCAACAAATTTAGGAATTGCAGTAAAAGTTTGTTTCTTTTTGTTTTACACAATTTAAAAGGTAATAATGAAGATTACTGGGAAATAGTTAAAGATTTTCTGGGGACCAGTAATCCTCACTATTACCTTTAAAATTTTTCTAAAATTCAAAGGAGATCAATTCAATGTTGGAAGAAAGATTAAGACCGGTTAAGATAGACCCGGATATAGATCAATATTTTAAATACCCTCCAGGCCGTTTGCGACCATCATTGACGCTTTTTCTTGGTTTTACTTCTAATTTGGTTACGTCGGGATTGAGAGATGTTTGTTATTTTTAATATATTTTTTACATTAAAAAAGATTTTTCGATACCTATTAGAGCATAATTTGGTTGATTGTGTCGTTACAAGTGCTGGAGGTGTTGAGGAGGATTTAATTAAATGTCTTCATCCGACATATTTGGGTATGTTTATTTACATTAACGTTATAGTCAAGAGGATAGCACATCGGATCTTGAGCTAACTGCTCATATAGTGGTAACACACATATATGACACAAGGGTAGAACTGCAGCAGAAAAATTTCTATTTTTGATGGTCCACAACATTTTTCCTTTTCTCTCTAGCCTTATTTCCCTTTGGTACATCTTATTTACTAAATACCTCCATTAAAAATAATTTAAATTTTCAGGTTCATTTAAAATGTCCGGTGCTTGGTTACGCTCTAATGGCATTAATAGAGCAGGAAATTTACTTATTCCAAATGAAAATTATTGCAAATTTGAGGAATGGTTAATGCCTATTTTAGACACTTGTTTAAATGAACAAAAACAAAAAGGATTTCGTTGGACACCTTCAAAAGTTTTTCGGCTGTAGTGTAGTGTACCGGTGGTAAAAGTTCGGGACGTGACATATGTCATTCGATTCGTCTCGACGAGCTGAGTCGAACGGTACCACTCCCTATTTTAGGAAATAATTCTGGACCGAGTTATAGGTCCCGAAAAATCGAAAAACCAAAGGGGGGACCAAGCACTTTTTTGGGGGTGAAAAATTCGAATATGCAAATTATACCTCATTCGAAAGAGCTCGTCGAGCTGAGTCGAATGACACCAAAATCAACAAAATCCGACTTGATTTGATAAAATTATGACCGTTTGTTTTAGCTCCTTACCTATGGCATCTGTGGAGATTTTTGCTGCTACGGAGGCCCCAAATACGTCCAGAGCAAGAGAGATAGGAATAGGTTTATGTTACGAGCCCAGACCCAGCGCCCGTAGACTCCCCGCGAGGCGCGTGCCGCAAGACCCCGCGCGAAGCGCGGGGTCTTGCACAAGCGCCTCGCCGACGACCCATAGGTTTATGTTGGTAGTTTTTCTATCGTAACTTTGTCAAAACTTGTGCAATCAAGATGGTTTTGGTGTCATTCGACTCAGCTCGACGAGCTCTTTCGAATGAGGTATAATATGCATATTCGAATTTTTTACCCCAAAATTGAGCCTACTCCCCCCTATGGTTTTTCGATTTTCAGGGACCTATAACTCGGTCCAGAATCATTTCCTAAAATAGGGAGTGGTACCGTTCGACTCAGCTCGTCGAGATGAATCGAATGACATATGTCACGTCCCGAACTTTTACCACCGGTACACTACACTATATCCAGTTTTTCTTTAAAAATTATTTTTTTTCTAAAAATATTTTAAGCTTATCAACAGACTTGGAAAAGAAATTAATGATAAAAATTCAATTTGTTATTGGGCATGGCATAATAATATACCAATTTATTGTCCGGCATTAACTGATGGCTCTTTAGGAGATATGCTATATTTTCATTCAATGAAGAACCAAATGGATGGTTTAATAATTGATATTGTTGAGGTTTTTTATTTGTAAAAATATTTTTTTATTTGTAAAAGGATCTTTGTCATATTAATTCAATGGCAGTTATGTCATTTAAAAGTGGAGTAATAATCTTGGGAGGCGGAGTTGTCAAACACCACATAAACAATGCTAATTTGATGAGGAATGGTTCCGATTATACAGTTTATGTTAATACTGGACAGGTTAGAAAATTTGAAAGAATTTTGAGTTTTTCCGGTACTTTCAAATTTTATTTTTTAAGGAGTTTGATGGTTCAGATTCTGGGGCGGAACCAGACGAAGCTGTGAGTTGGGGAAAAGTAAAAAGTGATGCAAGGACTGTGAAAGTTAATGCCGATGCAACATTAGTTTTCCCTCTTATTGTTGCCAGAACATTTGCACGAGTTATCGAGGAAAGAAATATCAAGGAAGGTGAAAAGAAAAATAGTGTTTAAAGTAAATTGATTGTTAATTTTTAAAAATAGTTAAAAACTTCAATTATATCTGAACTTTATGCGATAAAAATATTATAATCAGCACCGCAAGTATTGTATAATTAGCATAGACAATTCTTTTCAAAAACACTAGGCGAAAAATTAAATAGCTACCAGACTAAATAAAAGGCTACATCTTTTAAAAGAAGCCGGTTCTTCTCTGTTGTAATACATATTCTAAAAAGTACAAATCAAAGTAAAGTACAAGTCGTGTAATAAAAAATTTGGCATATTTATTATTTTTGGGGTTATTGTTAGTGCAATATCTCCCATTCTAGACCTGTGGCTATAAAAGGAAAATTTTAATGAAGTGAGGGATATGAGGGGGGATATTAATAAAGTGCCCATATTTTAATGGGTAATTAATTATTTAATGGTAATAATTAATAAAATTAAACCCAGAAATAATTTTAAAATAATTGGCTTCCACTTTAATGTACAGATAAGGGAATTTTTTCTTATGGAAAAGAGAAAATAAGCTTGCGGATTTATAATATGAATCTGACGTTTGGATGTAGTATAACAGAAAAGAACCAAGAATCCTATACAAAAAACATGATTAGCTGAAAAGTGGGATATTCAACGAAATTTGACCGATAAATAGCTTTAAATTATTAAAAGGATAAAGAGAAAAAGGTTTTTCCTATCACGATTTTTGATTCACATTCACTCCAGCATTAAGCAAATTGTAAAACCCATTTAGTTGCTCAAGAATGATGAATGTCAATACCTAAAAATATTAAAAATTGGAAAAAATTCATTATATTATATAAAATATTAACCTCAATTAAATTTAAAAAATTCGCCAGCCCGAAGGGCTGGCGGGACGCCCTTGAAAGTTGTGGATCCCGGGGGTACTTTTTATGGCGCATCTGGGAAAAATCCGTTTTCGGCGCCATGACTTTTCCTTTGCGCCGAAACGGCCATCATCATGTACCTATCTCGTGAACCAGAACCTGGAGCGAAAAACTTCTGCTGTTAGGAACCTAAGTTGGAACAGGTACATATATGCAGGAAAAAACCCGGGACCAAAATCTGAACTTGGAGGGTAGTTATGGGTGCGCAAAAATTCACCGACTGACGGTGAATTGTCGATTTTGTCGGACTAAAAAGTTGTTTTTGAGGTATAATTATGGAATAGAGTGGGCGATTCGGATAAGGCCTGGGGATTATAAGTAATCGGCCACGGCGAATTTTTTGGTCGAGGTCGTTTTGGTGCCGCACTCAAGTGTGGCACTGAAACGTCCATATGAAGAATTCAACGCGTTATAACGCGTTTTAGAGGAGTGGGGGGTTTTCGGGCCTGAGAGTGATGTTGGAGGGTAGAGTGTGGGGAACAAATTAGTAGTTGGAGACTAGAGTCTCGCGTGAACTTTTGGGGGTCTTTTGGGTCAAAGTGTCAAAGTCGAAAAGTCGACTTTTTGTAACGTGAATTGAAACCCGTTCTCGATAGCCTATTCGAAAGAACGTCCCCTGGGGCTCTGAAAAAGGTATACTTTGTTGGGGGTCCACTTGAGTCTCAAAAAGTTATAGGCGATGTTCGCAAATGTCGCGAAACTTTATGAGACTATAACGTCCCGGGGAAATTTTTAAAAATTTTTCTGACGCCGGAATCGTACTCAGCGCATGTCAGAGTACCATATAGGGTTTTTTTGCGTCAAAATTAGAAAATTTTGTCCCACCCCCTATTTCCAAAGGGTACCCCTGTTGGGGAAATTTCGGGATTTTTTAGGGGACCATAACTTTTTCTGAGATTGAAGGATTGGGATCGAGTTTCTTTTATAAAATAAAGTAAAAAATTAGGTATTTTTTAAGCCGAAAAAATTTCGAAAAAAATCGAAATTGGGCCCAAGGGGGTCGAATTTCGAAAAATTTTCGGTTTTTCGAAAAAATTCGCGATTTTTGCCAGCGGTTCGCGCCGAATGTATTTTTCTTGTATAGAGCAGATTTTTCTGCATATAATAGCCCTTTAAAATAATCAAAATAGGTTAACTTTGGGAAAGTTATGATTTTTTTGAAAATTTTGGCGATTTTCCCGGCCGAAATTTTCGCCAAAAAAATAATTTTTTCAAAATGGCCGTAATTAGGCCAAATTTTATATCATTCGAAAGCTCTTACCGAGCGGAGTCTAAAAATATTATTTTCAAATTTTTCTGACCTTTTTGGCCAAAGTTATAGAGGGTCGAGTTTTTGGGGGTGTCGGTAATCTCAGACTCATATCACCCCTAAAACTTGATCTGAGACTCAAATGTCCAACACCTTATAAGTTTCCCACACTCTGCCCTACAACACCACTCCCAGGTCCCAAAACCCTCCACCCCTCTAAATCACGTTATAAGACGTTGAAATTTTAAACAGGCCATTTCGGTGCCACATTTGAGTGTGGCACCAAAATGACCATTCCCGTTGAATTCCCCATGGCCGATTACCTATTATCCCAATAATTTTTTGCCCCGTTTGGTCTTTTTTCGATTTTGACCATTTTTCCATGTACCCTTTTGTCGGAAAAAAGGCCGAAGCTTTTATTTTTTAATTTTTAATTTTTTTTTTAAATTTTTTAAAAATCCCCCTAAAAAGTAAATTTAATTTAAGTGGGAACCGCTGGGGCTTTTTGGCGGAAATTTGGGATATTAGGTAATCGGCCCTGGGGAATCCATTGGGCATGGTCATTTTGGTGCCACATTTGACCTTGGCACTGAAACGTCCTGTTTCCGGAACTTTTTTGCCGTTTGCGCTTAAACTTGGGGATATAGGTAATCGGCCTTGGGGAGTTCAGCGCGCATGGTCGTTTTGGTGCCGCACTTCAGTGTGGCACTGAAACGGTCTGTTTTTTCCAAAATCCCCCTAAATTCATTTTAACTTAATTTTTTTATTTTTTAGCCTAAAAAATATTTTTTTTTCAATTTTTAGCTAAAAATTAAAATATTTTATTCAAACCTTCAATTCAAATTTAACAAAAATTTTCTATTTTCAAAATTTTAATTTTTTCACAACAACAAATTTCAATTATATTTATTTTTCCCTAACAACAACAAAATATAATTTCTTCAATTATTTTTAGCAATTCATACAACATCAACTCAACACTCTTACATCTCTACAAACAAACCATTTTGGTTTGTTTTTTAATTTATAATTTTTTTTCAAAAAAACAATTTTTTATTTTTCAGGTGTGATCAACACCAACTATGGATGGAAAATTTGGAATTTTCCATTATGGAAAATTTTTTGGGGGAAAGAAATCCCACGGACGTGGGTAGCGAAATGTATGACCACTGTGCGGAGGGGTCATGCCGGTTTCTTCTCTTAAATGGGCGGAGCCGGCATGATTAGGGGATCGGGATATGCCTGTTTCCCCTTTTGGGGGTACGGGGTAATCTCCCCCTTTCCTCTGCACAGTGGGATCGTACAAGCACTGTGCGGACGGGTCATGCCGGTTTTCTCCAAGAAATGGGTGGAGCCGGCATGATCGGGGATTGGGGCATGCCCGTTTCCCCTTTTGGGGGTACGGGAAGCCTCCCCCTTCCGTCTTCACAGTGGGAGCGTACAGCCACTGGATGGACGGGTCATGCCGGTTTTTTCCCAGAAATGGGCGGAGCCGGCATGATCGGGGATTGGGACATGCCCGTTTCCCCTTTTGGGGGTATGGGAAGTCTCCCCCTTTCGTCTGTACAGTGGGACAACCTCTGTGCGGAGGGGTCTTGCCGGTTTTTTCCCAGAAATGGGGAAAATCGGTATGATTTGGGGATTGGGACATGTCCGTTCCTCCTTTTGGGGGGATGGGAAGTCTCCCCCTTCCTTCTGCACAGTGGGCAATGATTCACTCCGCCGTGCGGAGGGGTCATGCCGGTTTTTTTCCCAGAAATGGGGGGAATCGGTGTGATCGGGGATTGGGACATGCCCGTTTCCCCTTTTGGGGGTACGGGAAGTCTCCCCCTTCCCTCTTCACAAAAAGGGGCCTATCCATGACCTCGTCTGCACTATAAACACAGCGAGGCATGGAAGTGTCCTCTTAAGACCCCGTCCTGTGGAAAAACCTGTATACATTAGGTTTCGGGTCCTAGCCACAAGAAGGCCCACAGGATGGGGTGAAATAAACGTGGGGCACCAATACTTGGGGGAAAAGAACCCCGGGTATTGATGCTTCACTGTGCGGAGGGGTCATGCCCAAATTTTTCAAAAACTTGAATGCCAACGGTTTTGGGTGATCCATAAAACCTTAATTACCTCATTTTTAAAAAAAATTAATTTTTTTTTCATGAATATTTGGTTTTTTAACCTTATATTTGGTTTTGGGTCATCCATTAAAACCCAATTTGAATGCTTTTGAATGGTTTTGGGTGACCCATAAAAACCCTAATTACCTAATTTAAAAAAAAAATTAATTTTTTTCATCAATATTTGGTTTTTTAACCTTATATTTGGTTTTGGGTTATCCATTAAAACCCAATTTGAATGCTTTTGAATGGTTTTGGGTGACCCATAAAAACCCTAATTACCTAATTTTAAAAAAAAATTAATTTTTTTCATCAATATTTGGTTTTTTAACCTTATATTTGGTTTTGGGTTATCCATTAAAACCCTGATTGATTTATTTGAATGTTATGGTTTTGGGTAAGTAGCCTTAGGCATGGAAGCCAGTGAGGGCGATCCATTAAAACCCTAAGTCGCATTACTCTGAGTCACTTCTCAGGTTATTGCGCACGGGCATTGCAAACTTGCAGTCCTCAAATTGCTGGATATGGCTCATTTCGTGGACCGAGGTAGGACGGGAAAGGCTGCAAGCCAAGTACCATCACCGCCCGGAGCGTCCCAGTGCTTTTGAGGGCACCAAAGGTCGGCTCAAGACTGTTTCCCCTATATGGGGGTATGGTGTATTGTCCCTTTGGGCAAAGTTTGCCAGACCCCTGGGCCACCTTCCCAGGACTGTAGCTCGTCCATATAGTGGGGGTCATGGATAG